CGCTTGTCAGCGGCATTTCAGTAGCCAAACTTTTTCTTCTCAGCCTTAAGAACTTCTTGAGCCCAGAAATGGCAGATGAGCAAATCGATTAATTGGACTAATGGTTTGCTTTAATATTTAGCCCGTAAAGTCTTATTTTTAGAAGAAAGACACAGCCCAGAAATTATTACATTATTTTTAGCAGCCCTTCCATCATGCAAACCTGCGCCACAAAATAATACACATAATGCTGGAAGCCAACACATTTGCTATATATTAAAAGTCTCTACACAAATGGCAGAAAATAAAAAAAAATGTATTATTGCACAAAATCCCACAAAAATAAAATAAATAAATAATGAAAAAATAAAGAAATAAAGCGGAAAAAGGTGTGTGAACTCTGCTTAGAAAACTATAAAAATCGTAACCGAAAAAGAAACCAATTCAAATAGTTTTCAGTATCAACAATCATTGGGGGAGCCACTCCCCACGAAAACTGGCAATTAATTCGAAGAATAATTCACCACAAATATGGAAACTTCAGCCAAGAACTTCAGCCAGAAACAAGTGCATTTCCGCTTCGGTCCAGGCCCATCAGCATCGAATCAGTTTCAGTTGTTTCCCCCACAACTATATATATATAGATATGCGAGTAAGTAGTAGCAGCCGTACATCGATATATCCATGTACTTGCAACAAGGCAAGTAGAAAACTTTGCGCCTGCCTGCCCGCCCGCCCGCCTGCAAAATGCTGACTGAGGCAGAAGAACAAAGGCGAGAATTTGCCAGGAGATGTCAGCAGGTGCTGCTTGCCTGCCTGCCTGGGCAGGTAGGGGAACGGATGGGAGGACGGAGAGTGCCATGTGAATGGGATATCGTTTGGTCTGTGAGTAGTCTCCTGTGAGAGCCCGAGAGACAGGCGGAGGCAGGCTCTGTGTGCGAGTATGTGCAAGTGTTTTCCAGTTGATGTAACATTACTTTGAAATCTCTTGCCCGGCACAGGGCAGCCAAATGAAAAGCAAAGAGAAGATGCTTTCCCCCATGAAAGGAAAGAAAAACCCCATGGTCGATGGCAGGGGATGGGATGGGATGGGATGGGACGGGCCGGGCCGGGCCGGCAGTTGAGACAACGGATATGGATACTCGGCTTAATTTCTCCAGCGGTCCTCTGTTGGTCAACTGGCCAAACAAAGTTCACTTTTTTTCTTCCACCATTTTTCCCCATTTTATGGTGGGTGGGGGGGGAGGGCAGAGTCTCTGAGTTGCTGCTGGTTTGGGGTGATGCACGCGAAACGCTTCGCTGGACAATGAACAAGCGAAATTAGAGAATGTAAACAGCGGATTTTATCCTGTTCGTTGCCTTGCCAACACCAGAAGCACCAAACACAGGCCCCACCACAGCCAGAGCCCATATAGAAAATGTACATACATATGTATACAAAAGCAATTCCCGACTATGGAAATACTCAGCACCAGAATCTTGCACAAGGATTACGAAATTCTGTGATGGTGGCTGCAGCATCTGCTACGTACTCACCCAGTCATACAGCAGATCCTTGTACTCCACAAATATCCCACAGGGTACACCCCAATAGCAGCAGCAGCAACAACAAAAAGCAAGAAAATCCCCCAATGAAACGTGGACCATTTTTCTTTGTCTTTGGTTCCGTGTCTGGGACCTGTCGCCTCGTAGAGGATACCGGAGATGAGAGCACACAGCACAGCGAGGGAGAGAGTGAGAGCAAGCAGTGGGGAGTGGTGGAGTGGTGGTGCGGGAACACCAAACAGCAACAACGGCGCCAGTTGACACGTCTTTTTCCTTTGACAAACATTTAAACAGGCGCGCTTCGGACAACGTCAGCAGCATCAGCATCAGCAGCAGCATCAGCGTCAGCGCCAAACAAGAACAATTACAAGCAATTCCCAGTTTCCAGTTCCCACCTTAACCTTCGACTTAACCTCACCTCAGCAGAGAGCGCGACACAAACGAAAACACAAACATGCTGCCTGCTTGCTGCTTCTTCTGCTGCTTGCTCCCTGCTTGCTGTCTGCTTGCTGCCTGCTTGCTGCTTGCTTGCCTGCTGATGTCATAACAGTAAATTAGCAGCGACAAGCCAAGCAGTGTGTAGTTCAGTGTGTGGGAGGGAGTTGTAAGCAGTCGAGTGGAGCAGAAAATCACACACATTGCAAATGAAATGGAATTTTTGAATGGACATAGGTACATAGGTACTGATATAGGTACATATGTACATATACAAATGTATGTATGTATAAAGCAATTAATAGCAAAAGAATGTCTATGATTATTGGTTAGCCAGATCCATAGATACCGTACCCCAGCTAGCAGCACACATTGAATTTATTAATGCACTCAAAAAAAAAAAAAAAAAGAGTTCTGTGTGATGTGTTGTTGTTGGCCCATCCTTTGCGTATTGTATCTGCAGGAATAAACTTTAGAAGCTTCAGGATTTGACAAGCCATTTGTGGCATTTAACTTACGAGTAGAAGAGAGTTTATTTAATTTGGATGCCCTCGTGCCGGAGGCCTTGTCAGCATGGATGGCCATGGGGTGTAGCTGCATGCGGCCAAATGTGGTCTCTAGTCATCAACCAGATAGGAGAGCAGCTTCTGCAGATAAGCCTTGATCTGAGCAGCTTCAGCAATGATCTTAACGTAGGTATTGTCATCAGCGTTCTGCAATTGTTCCTCCATTTGTTGGGTTTTAATAGCCACTAGCTTAACAACATCCTCCACCGCCTGATGGCTAATGTTAAGCGCCATTTTGCACAGAAGAACTAACGCGTAAAGTCTCACAAGCAAACTATATTTTACTTATAGCAGATAACCCAGATTACCCTCTCACGTTTACTGTTTGAATAAAGTTTAATATATCGGAGAGACTTTTCCCCAGAAACAATTTCTCGTTGCTTGCTTTGCTCTTTGATTTTTGAATTTGGTACATGATTTTCTGCTACACTGTAATTTGCACGAGACAAGATGTAGGCTGTGGGCCGAGATGAGTAGATCACTTCCTCATGCCTAGAATTTGCAATACACCCTCAAAATCTTTTTTTTTTTGTTAAAAAAAACCTCAATTTGGTGACTGCTTGCACTCTCATATTTTTTACTCCAAACCTGCAGCGCAGATAACCACAAAAAGTAATAGGCTGACAACAAAATTGTATTACCTTTTACAGGAATTTTGATTCGAGGTGATAGCATGAATATATCCGAGGATATAGCGCCTCAAAGTTGGAGCTTGCTAACATTTTTAATGTTGCTTCAACTTTGGCATTTGGCATTTTTTTTGTATGTAATGGTATCAATTTTAGTCATGAACTTTCTAATGTCATCTATTCGTAACAAAATAAGCTACTATTAAATAAAATTTTGTACGATTTTTGCAGTAATTGTAACCCATTTTATATTGCACTAAAACCTTAAAGTTTTGTCTCGTGCAAAGTACATTCAAAAGTCTCTCACTTGTCGCACAGTGCTATCAACTGTCAGCTCTATGTAATAAATGGTCTGCATTCATATCCAGCACTCAATCTGAAATGCTCTTATTTGGCGCCTCAAATACTGCAGTATCGATGACTATGAGGGCGGGGTCCATAGCGAAATTGGAATACTTTTGGCTGCCACTTTGACAAATTCTCGGATTCCATGTACCAGGAAAGCTGGCAAATCATTTAGCAGAGTCCCCCCCAGACGATCATCCCTCTCTCTAATATTATTGCTAACCAAGGCAGAGTTTTTCCTTATTTTATTAACTCATTTATTTATTGCTAGCTCTGACCATTTTCGCTGTGACATTCAGCTTCAGCTTTGTCGCTAAAAAATCTGCTATTATATTATTTTGGGCAATTGCTGAATATATATCTGCCGATTTGATAGTTATTCTGCTGCCTAAAACTTATTTGGAAATTACTTTAAGCTCTAAAGTTGAACCAGCTGAAAATGTAAAACAAAAACTTGGACGCTCGTGTATGAGTGGTTATGGAGGGGTGGGGCTGGGGGGGCAGGCTGCCACTTGACTCTAGACAGACAGGCAGTGTGTACGAGTACATCCCTACGACTATATATGTATAGGGAGATATGTAGATACATATATGGAGATACATATACATATACATATGTACGGGCATATCGGACTGCGTAAATGGGGGCGGGGTGGCATGAGGGGGGCCACACACAAGCTGCAGAGACTGCAGAGCGAGAAGGAGGAGAAGGAGGAGCAGGAGAAGCAGCAGCAGGAGAAGCAGTAGCAGGAGGATGCGAGTGAATATCTATCAATGTGCTTTCGGTTATTCATCAACGAAAATGTCTAAATTATTCAAATGGAAATGTGGAAATGTCGCCCGCGTTCGTCTGCCGCCCGCTGCCATTCCCACAGTTGATGTTTTGTTTCTGTTCGGTTGCTCATGGTCGGACCTGGACCTGGACCTGGATCTGGATCTGCCTGCACTTGGACATGGACATGGACTGAATTGATGAAGCGGCAGCAGACCGACAAACCGTTAGACGTATTACGTACACAAGGACTGAAAGAGAGGAAGGCGGGGCAGGCGGGGAGACAGGAGAGACTGAGACTGAGGCTGAGGCGGAGGCGGAGGCGGAGGCTGTGGAGTGTAACCGCTAACAATGGCCTCGTCCTTCATCCTTCAGCCCCATGTGCCCGAACTGGCTTTGGGTTTATTTTGGCCCTGCCTGTCACTCGCCCTGGCCTTGCCTGGCCTGGCCTGGCCTGGTCTGGCCTGGCTTTGGGCCTTCACTATATAAATGCCACGTTGGATTTATGTCTAGTCAGGGATTTCAATATGTACACACACACACACATACACACACATGCACACATACGTGTGTATATGTATATGAGGAGTTCATTTAACTTCTGGCATTTCGTTTGACACGTTTCCCTGGGATTGTTTGTGGCTAGAGAGGTTCTTCCCACCAGAGCTCCGATGTAAAATTAATTAAAGAATATTCTCCTACACGCAGCTATTTATTTTATATTAAAGCCCGCCCCATTGGCTTTTCATCAGCAGTCACACACGACACACAAATTCCACACAGAAATTAATTTTAATTCCAAAAAAAATTCCAAATTTTCGGCTACAATCTGAATTCGCAGCAATCCAAAACTAAAACCCCAGTGGACATGTCCTGTTTCCGTGTATTGGACGAGGAGGATCGCCTGATGTTAACTTCGTGGCTCAAGGAGCACAACATCCAACTGAATCATCGCACCAGAAACGAGCTGCGCGATGCCTTTCCGGTGGCGAAAATCTTCAAGAAAATCCATCCCGAATTGGTGGATCTGCAGGTGTACACGCCCAGGTGCAGCATGAAGCTAATGCTGAACAATTGGCAGATATTCAACGACAGGGTCCTGCGGAAACTCAATCTCAGTCTGTCCCTGGCGGAGCTCAAGGAGCTGGCAGTGGGGCAGGCGTGCGCCATAGAGGCGGTGCTCTATAAGCTGATGACCACCGAGTTCTCCTTGAAGCGGGGAGGGGGCAGGGGCAGGCTTAATCTCGCCAAGCAAAATCGCCACACAGACATCGAGCCATAGGCAGCTCAATGGGCGATGTGCTCCAAGTAATATATTCCCCTTGGTTCTGGCTAGTGCTGGAGCGATGGTAAATCTCTGGTAAGTGCATCGAACAACTTTATGCACAGAAACTAATTTATATTTTAGTTTTAGGCAGCAAAAGAAGGACTTGAGCATATTCCATGGGGATTGTAACAGAAAGAAATTGACAGGGCAACTTTCCTTTCAAGGCAACAGCCTGAGCAGCAGGCTCGAATTCTATCCACAGAAAATTGCCAACAAAAATTGCTCGTTTTCCTTTTTTTTTGCACTCTAAATTAACTGAAAGCTACCAAATTTAAACACAGAATTTGAGCTTAAATAAATAAATAAATGAATTACATTTGTGGCAAATAAATTCAAACGCGCTTAAAGAAGTGCTTTAAACAATTAAAATTGATTATGCATACATATAATAATATCATATTATATTATTATTATTTTAATTATTATTATTATTATTATTATTATTATTATTATTATTATTAATTATTATTATAAATATAATTATTATATATTATTATTATTATTATTATTATTATTATTATTATTATTATTATTACTATTATTATTATTATTATTTTAATTATTATTATTATTATTATATTACATTATTATTATACAAATTAAGCAAAATTCCTTTTGGGGCTTTATGCTTAAATTTTTGCATCACTTTTGACTTTTTATTTGTTTTTCTGCTGATGAATTTATGAGACATTTAACAGCGGAAAATGTACAATGTACATTGTACATACATATGTATACATAAATGAGTATGTAAGCAGCAGCACTGGAAGGTGTGTGTGTGGTGTGTGGAGTGGTGTGTGGTGTGGTGTGGTGTGGTGTGTCATGATGGAATTAGTTGTGTTGCGGTTGGAGTCAAGTGCTGTGCGCAGGGGCTTGTAATGAGGCAGGGCTAATTAATTTGTATAATGTGCTGACTGAGAGACGACGACTGATAAGTGGCCGTAAACACACAAAGGCATCGTAAACCATATGCCCAGAGCCCAATCCAAGCATAGCTACCCATAGCCATGGCAAACCTCACTCACAGTGGCCGGCGGCCAATCAATTAGAGGACCTAAACACTTGAGAGCGAGCCCCCCTCGAACTGGTGCCCCTCAGCCTGCCTGCCTGGCAGCCTGCCTGCGCAGACTGGTGCGAAGTTTAAAACGTTTATAGTGCGTGTAATCAGCTCTTAACTATAATTTATAAAACAGCGTTTCTTGCAGCCAGCACCGCGGTCTGTGGGTCTCTGTCTGTGCCTGTTGGTTCGCAGCTTAACGCGCTCGCTCTTGGACTCACTTGGGGCCTGGCCTCTGGAGCTGCGGCAAAAGTAACGCATCGGCACGACGGAAGCAATAAACTTCTGTATAATTAAATAAAATAAAATTAAAAATGTTAATGAGCACCAAGAGAGAGAGAGAGAGAGAGAGAGAGAGAGAGAGGTAGAAAGAGTGAGCGGGAGAGAGGAACTCACCTCACTCATCTACTATAATCATGGGTGAGTCTCGAGTCTGGGTGTCTGGAGGCCCTGAGCCCTGAGCCTCCGCCACCGTCAACGCCCCCTGCCCGCCCCAGCCCCATCGGCTTGTAAACAATTTAGCGTGTCTCTTCATATTATATCATTAAAATTAATACGAGTTTAGCGTGCCGCAAGTTATTCACTTTGGAGCAGCCCTCGCCCCACCCCCCACCCCTCCGTTAAAGTGCGTCTACAAATGCAATTTTCCACCTTGCCAGGCGAGGCTTAGGCCTGAGTCCATGCCCAGGCCCAGGCCCATGCCCAGGCCCAGGCCCATGCCCAGGCCCAGGCCCAGGCTTTTCCATTACTTAGAAACCTATCTGCCTTCTCCTCCTCCTACTGCTGCTTCTGCCTGTCGGTTAACTAATGAGACAGACTGTAACTAAATTTGTTGATTGTGTCAGACAAGTTTCAGATTAACGCAGCAATTTTTCCACCAAACCAAATCGTAGAATGGAGTCTCAACTGCAGTCCCTATGGCCGTGTCGAAGCCTTTTAGTTGAGACTTTGAAACAGCAAAGATAAACCAGTTTTATATATTAATAAGCTTACACATTAAACATGATTAAACAAAAGGCAATAATCGAAAAACTACCATACATGCCACATGCCACAAAGCACAAATATTCTTTTCTCTACACAAACTTTAAACTTTAAACATAATTAAGTAAATAAAAGACAGCTGCTTGAACAGTGTTACCTTTGCTTAATGTAAAATGCATCATGTTCGCTGGTCACACTGGCCAAGTAATCAAACGGTTTCCTATCAGATTGATCTGAAACAGTTGCAGCGATCAAGCTTCGTTTTGTTTTGTGTCGTTTCAGTCGATGTAAACAACAATTCTCCAGTAGTATACATTTCTGTACAGCCACAGCAACAGCACTAGCAGCGATAGTTATTTAGCTATCGATAGTTAAGGGCCCAATTGCGGTACTATAATAAATATATTTTTAAATCTTTCAAATGGACTCATCCGACGATGCATCGAATGGCTTACTCGACTCCACTGCCGAACAACAGGACGACACGGAATATGATGCAGAGTCCATGGTCAACATGTTCGATGAGCTGAAATTCTTGGAAGCGATGCAGGTAAGGCCAAGAACTTCCCGGCAATTGGTTAATTCATTTAAACGAGTTACTTGTGTGCCTGGGTGTGCTCAGAAGTATTTATTGCAAAATGCACAGCATCAAGTGTCGTTCGTTAATAACCTGACTGAGGTGTGGGATTTCGATCCGAGAATGCGCCAAGCTTTCGCCTCATTCGAGGCACTCGTCCAGGCAAACCCAACTGTTGACAACTGCTTGAATCGTAAGTCCAATGGCAAATTCTTGTCGGTTTAATTCCATATCCATTCCAATCCTCAATGCTGCAGCGCGCCATGAGGCACTCGTGAAGCTGGCCAACTCCATGGCCAAGGCCGCAGCGACGAGACAGCGTAAATCCAAGCGTAAACTTGCCACAGCGATACGCAACAACCTCATCAAAGCAGTTCTATTCGTTGACCTGAGAGCCGAATATCTCCAGGAGCAGGTACATAGGTGTCCCGTCGGTTTAAAAGCTTCGATATATTCCCCCCATAAAACGTTCCACTTGCAGCTGAGGATGCCCACGCACATGCTGAGTCCGGAGAAGGCTTTGGAGTTGCTCGGCATCTTGCCCAAGGAGAGCTCCGACTCCACAATCTCCAGCTGCTCGAGCTCCCGCAGCAGCTCCTCCAGCTATGAGCTGCTGGATGCTGGCAACAGTAGCAGCTGCCGCAGCTCCATGACGGCTGACATGTCGGATGCCGTGCGCTTCAAGTGCTACAAAATGCTGTGCAACGCCCTGAAGATCGGCGCATTGGCCGATGGTTGTGCCGAGTGCGAGCCAAAGGCCGTCGAGCTGGAGGCAGCCATCTACGCGGAGTTCAACAAAGCGGACAAAAATTACAAGCAGCGCATTCGATCGCGTGTGTCCAGTCTGAAGGATCCGCTGAATCCGGGACTGTGCAGCAGCTTCTTGTGCGGCGCCATCTCGGTCGAGCAGCTGGCCGGCGAGCCCCAGGAGGGACAGCAACTGGGTTGAGACGACAAGCAGCTATCGTTGCAAGTTCACACTGCAACACACACACACACACACACACACACAGTCCCAAACTTCGCACCAGGCGCTGAGTAGGCAAAGAACACACAAAAAAAAAAAAAAAAAACACCCACGTATCCAAATAGCAGCCACACCAACACATAATCCATTATTACATTGTAAAGACTAGACTTGAAGTTTCAATAAAGCAACCAAAAAAATACACAAAAATTACTGCAGTAATTATTAAATATTAAATTATTAAATTATTAATTATTAAATATATCAAATTAAATAAATCTTTAAAGATAAAGGATATTTTTTGTTATTATTTTGTTGCCGTTTTAAGCTTGAAAATCTTTGCTTTCCTGCTCTTCTGCTCCCCTGCTCTCTCCCACTGCTAAGCCGCCGCCTGGGGCTTGCGCAGACTTTGCTCTGACGATGATCGCCAGCCAGATGCAATATGCAAATAAGATGTTGCCGCTTGCAGCTTGCAGCTTGCCGCCTGCCTCTGCCACCGTTCGGATCGACTTCTGCCAGCTGGCGGGCATTGTTGTGTTGGCCTAACACGACACTGACAAATGTTAATCCATTAAGGCCCTGTCAATGGGCAAATCTGTCACAACAGAGCCAGAGCCAGAGCGGCAGGCGACAGGCGGCGGAGCGGCACGTAAGACGTGTAGAGGGTATTAGTTGTGCGACCTTAGAGCGAAACTTAATTGGTGCTGATGCTGATGCTGATGCTGCTGCTGCTGCTGCTGGTGCTGCTGGTGCAAGGTGCATTGCTCTTCGCGAGCAGAGCCGAGCCTGGGATTTACAGAGACAAATGCGAATGCTAAACTTGGCTAACAACAAATTGGCAATCAGGCACAGGCCCTGGCCCAGGTCCGTTCGCTTTGCCCACTGGGCAGGTGTTGGACAACTTAATGCCAAGTGCAGTCCAGCCAGGGCCAGGGCCCAGCAGCCGAAGTCTGCTGGAGCGCTGCGTAGAGCGCGTGCCGTGTAAAATGTTTTAAGTGCCTGCTCATTAATCGTAATCGTCTCTGGCTGTAACTTATGCCGCTCCATCTGCCACAGCCACTGCCACAGCCACTGCCACAGCCACTGCCACAGTTGGCTGCAATACCCTGTGCGACACGTATTCGTTTTTGGCAGCCAGAACGATCCACTGGCATTTTTTTGTATGGTTTTCTCTAGTCCGCCTTTGGCTGTTAGTTGACAGGAGGATCGTTTCGTTTCGTTTCGGTTCGGTTCGGTTCGGGTGGTGGCACTCCTTCGAGCGAGCTTCACTCGTTTGTCTAATTGAGAACTGGATAAACACCAAAACCAAGCGCCTGCCTGCCTCAGCCTGCCTCTGCCTGCCTGTGGGGTTACGACAGCGGCGGCGGCGGCTGCGGCGGCGGCTCAGAGGCCCCAACGCCTCTTTGTCATTTGTCAGAGTTCGTTTTTAGGTGTAAATATGTTAATGAGTGTGAATAGTTTCCCAGAATTTCCCATCTACACTCGCACACACCACTCACCCGATATATGCCGATAGTCTGCGAGCCGGGAGTCGGGGCTGAGTTCTCTCTCTCTGCTCTCCAGTCTTAATTGGAATTGCCAGGGCATGCTCGTCGTACCTGGGCTGGGTGCAGTTGGGGCATGCCGCATGACGTATGCCGACGATTAATTTCGCTCTGTGCGTAATCAAGTCAAAAATTTATTGAAGTTGCAATAAATGCGCCCATGGCAGCAGCCAGGCAGCCAGGCAGCAGCCAGGCAGCAGCAGCATTGGCAGTTTGTGGCGCTCATTAGAAAAGCTTCAAATGCTTTCGCCTGCGTGCGTTTGATTGGAGGCCGTAGACGCTGGGAGTTTCGATAAAGCCGCCTCGGCTGCTGAAAATACACAGCGAGAAAGGAGAACCAAGATTCCCCCTGCAATGCATACATATATTTATGCGTGACACTGTACGTTTATTGGCCACAAAATGCCACATGGCCAATTGGCTTATGATTCAGCAGCAAAAAAATAATAAAAATCAAACGACAAACGGCAAACAGCAAAACGTTTAACGCAGAAAGCAGAAAGCAACAGCTGATGCGTGAACAGCTGTTCCAGTTGGTTGGCTTTAGTAGGGGTATGCCTGAAAACGATTTGGACTTGATTTATATTAAAAAACAGCAACAAGAAGAGCAGATAAAAAAAAATTTAAAAAAAGGCAGATATAAGAGCAAGAAATTTATAATTAATTTAATATTTATTTCAATAATTATTTTTGTATATGTTCCATGCCCCAATCGCTGCTAACACACTTTCGCTGCTCAGTGCATAATGTGAGAGAGAGAGAGAGAGAGAGTTAGTCTCTTAGTCCATGGCATCCTGGACCATTTGGGAGCCTCCATTCACCGCCCCTTGGCTTGCGGTTAGCCTCGTATCAAGCGGTATCAAGCGGCAGCTGCTGGGGTTTGGGTATGGATGCGTTTTGGGTTTCACGTTTCATGCATGAATTGTGGCATAACTTTTGTTGTTCTTGTGCAGCGGAGTCACCAGCGACGCGCAGCTATAATATGCCCACCGACCTCTGCTCTGGGCTTAGGCTGCTCAATCCGAGCCGGCAAAAGGCCGCCCGATACGCACACAATTCCACTTTGAAACCCAGAAACCTCTCTCTTAAAGTTAAGCAATCAATAATTAATATTGCTGCCGCGTGGAAGCTTTAAACTGACATTGAATGAAAGACTTAAAGGTGCAAGTCGCCGGATAAAACAATTAAATAATTAAAATATTCTTCGAGTGCCAAAGATGACAGATAAAAGCTAAAGCACATCCTTGCATAATTCCGCAGCAGAAATTAAGAAAAAAAAAAAACAAAAAGAAAAATGAAGTATTTAAAATCAAAGAAATAAAATAAAATAAATACAAAATAAAATAAAAAGAAATAAAAGAAATAAACGCTAAATTAATTGTTATTTGAAACTTCATTGGGATGGGAAGGAAATAGTTTGAATATTTTTGTGTGATCTGTTTACAAATTGGAACGAAATTTTAAATTTTGTGCCGCGCAACGTTCGGGATCGAGGGGAAAAAAACACAGACTGAAACAAAGAAAGGAACCCACAAAATTCCAGGTTTATCTTTGCCCGCTCTCTTCCAGATCTTTCTTCCAGCTCTCTCCCCCTGCTCTCTCTCCCTGCTCACCCCCTGCTCTCCCCCTGCTCTCTCCCCCTGCTCTCTCTCCCTGCTCTCCCCCTGCTCTCTCTCTCTCTCTCTGGTTCCCTATTACCTTTTCTGCCGCCTCTTACCTGGGTCAGTGAGGCATTGCCAATGGCCTGGGGGCTGGCAGTTCGCCTGGACGTACGGACGGACACCTTCTGCTTCTGCCCGCCCTTTCGCACCCCTAACCACAAAGCGTCCAAGCCAGGCATTAAATTTATTACTTAACAGAAATTAAGGCACTCTGCGCAGGTCGCAACAAGTCATATACTGAAATTTGGAAGACAATTCTAAAGTTTTAGCTTGGATCCATTTTTGGGGAATATTTCACTGGTTGTTCGCCCACTGCCAAACGTTCAAAAAGTGCCAAAGTACCCCTAATGCAGTGAGGGCATGCAAAGGTGACCCACCAGAAAGAAAACCCTTTGTAGGGGGGGGGGGGTTCGGGGTTCGGTTTGCCGTAAAAGAAGTCGAAAAAATTAAAGCAATTGCATGCTTTGCATAATTTCTGTAAACAAAGTGGCGGCTGGCTGTTGGCTGGCTGTTGGCTGGCTGTTGGCCCAAAGTGCTTCTCTTCCAGCTGTCAGGGGTATTCCCGCTGGGCGTGTGGGGGTACTCCAGCGGCAGGGGAAGTGGGTGGGTGCGGGTGCGGGTGCGGTGGCTCTTCTTAAGCTGCCAAGAAACGCGCGAAAATGCGAATTAATCCCATGGCCGCCTGACTTTTGCCGCTTTTTGTTTTTAAGCTTCGCTGATTTGGATTTTGGATTTTGGATTTTCGCCCCGCTCTCTCGCAATATTCCATATGCCACAGTGCCGGAGAGCCGCAGCCGGAGGCTATCGATTTACCAAATCGGAACACCGCTACCCCCCCGCGTGTGCCCAGCCAGCAATGAAACTCCAAGAGACCCTCTCTCTCCCTCTCCCTCTCTCTCTCACTCGCTCCCTTGACTCTGTCAGTTATTCAATTTTTTGCCATTTTATCGCTTCAACATGGAAAACCTTTTAAAATCAGTCAGCGCAGAGGGGGGGCGGGCTTTAGAGAGAGATGGAGAGAGAGGGAGGCTCACATATGGCCTGTCAGTGGGTGGGTGGGCTGCCTGCTTATCAATTCTTATCGGAAAGAAGGCTGCCAAAGGGGAGACCTGAAAACTCATGCGAAATTGTTGCAACAAGAGCTGCCTCCTGCCTCCTGCCTTCTGCCACACACACACTTACACAACACACACACTTACACACACACACACACTATTGAACACATTGACAACTATAATTGGCTATAAAACATTTTGGAGGGCCCTTGACGGACATTTCAATAGACTGAGCGAACACTGGCTGCCACGGGCTACAAAGCCCACCGACAGAATCCAAACAAAAAAAAAAAAAAACAACAAAAAAAAAAACGAAAACAGGCAAAGAAAATAGTTGCACAGCCTGCAGACAGATAAAGCGGCAGATAGATGGCATAGATACGGCGAGAAAGAGACAGCCAAAGGCTGCCAAACAGAGACAGAAACAGAGACAGAGCCTAGTACTTCGCTTTGAAAATAAACGCAAAATAAAAGCAGCAAAAACCCTGCGGAAATCAGCTTAAAGTGCACAAAATTGTACGGATATTATTTGGGTAATTATTCGCTTGGTTTTTAAAAGAAAATATTTGTGGAAAAATCTTTGTGTAGAGAACGGAAGTTCCTGCTAAGTTCCAGCTTCAAAAAATGCCACAGAATGTAGCTTATATTTTTCGGTGATAATTTGAAGCCTTAATAGAGCACCCTCCCCACCCTTAGCTGCCCACAAACTGCTGCTGCCATGTCCTGCCCTGCCCCCTTCCAGCTCCGCCCTCTCAATTCGCTTTGATGCCACCCTTTCCACCCATTCCCTTTCTGCTGTTGTTTAAACTTTTCAATTAAATGTTAATTATGTGAAATTGACATTGAATATTATGACAGGTTTGGGGAAGCAACTGGCCCAGTACCCCTGTGCCCCTGTGCCCCCTCCCCCCCTGTGCCCCCGCCCGCCCGGAGGTACGCT